TGCGGACCTTCCTCAGACCTTCTAGCCATGCCAGGGATTGTCGTGTTCCGCCGTCGCTGGTCTGTAGGCAGCGATGACCTGGTTTTGCCAGCCGTCTTCCTCTTCCTCCTGCATACCACCTGGTAAGTGAGAAAGGCAGAACGATGGTTTCAATTCTCCTATGAATTCTTTTTGCTGTTCCTGTTTCTTGCAGCTGTAATTCTTCCTGCGCTTACACACGTGGCTGGAAAGCTTGTTTGGGGCATTTCTGGCAGACACCAACATATTTCTAGCTTCTGGTTCTTTAAGTAAGTTCTATGCTAAGTTCTAGTTCCAGTTCCAAAGAAGGAGCCTGACCAGAGCTCCTTGCATCCTCCTGTGCTACCCAAGGTTGTCCACTGGAGTTTGGGACTGTGTTTCTGTAGAGGGGCTCAGGAAAAACAATTGGAGTGGCAGATTCCATGGGATAATGTGGCTTGACACAGATCATCAAATTGTCCTGACTGGGGTAGCAGAGCCTCTGGATGGCTTGTGGGGAGGAGATGTCCAGACCAAATTAATATTAATTATAAGTAGCTGTGGGACACTGAGGTTCCTCAGTAGCGCTGTGAGAGCAGGTGTGGGATATTTCATGCAGTTTTCTTTGGCTTACTGCTGGTAACAAGCTGGTTTGTGACTGGCAGGTTTGTGATCCTCTCTGTGGTGCTCTTTGGGCTGGTGTACAACCCCAACGAGACCTGCTCGCTTAACCTGGTGGACCACGGCAGAGGCTACCTGGGCATCCTGCTCAGTTGTATGATCGCAGAGGTGGCAATCATCTGGCTCAGCATGCGAGGCAGTATCCTGTACACAGAGCCCCGGGACTCGATGCAGTATGTGCTCTATGTCAGACTGGGTAAGAGGCAGCGGCCTGAGGCCTCCTAATGACTCAGCCTCCACACTGCCATCTGCTATCGCAGAAGACTTCTCTCCCCACACCCCGACAAACACACAGCTTCTGAAAGACATCCAGATGGCCACTTGTATGTGATATGCATCTGAATACATCACATATACTGCACCCTGTCATTGCTGTAGGACTCTCATGCAATGCCCCAAATATCTTTCTAGCAAACCTTTAACTTGTCATCCTCATTGCAATGCAGGTACATCCTTTTCCTCTAACAAAATATGCTCCCCTTCTGGCTCATAATGCAGATCTGCCACTGTGAGATGCATCTACACTTCTCCCCCACCTTTTTTTCCACACGGCTTCCTGTGATACAGGCATATATCTGTGTAAATCATGGTGGTTCTGACCCCAGGGCATGTGCTTGCCCTTGCCTGTCATACAGACACTTAAGTCTACACCCACCTACCTTGAGACATGTACTTGACCCCTTGACTCACATGTGATGCATCTCTCCATCCAACAACCTGCACTTTCATACTCTACCTCCAGGCACCATGAGATAAATAGATTTACCACCTGCTCACTGCTTGCATCCGCTCTCTAAGAGTGCATATTTGTCTTCCTAAAAACATTTCCTGTCTCACTCATACACCCAAGAAGTAGATCAGAAAAGAGTTTCTTCCTTGATCTCTCATTCACGGTTCCCTTCTGGCTTGTCTGCCCTCCTCTGTTCCATTATCTTTCAGGTACAGAAACTTGGTTAGATTTTTCTGTGCTAAGTGAAGATTTTTAAGAGAAAAATCTTTTGGAGATGCAGTCAAGCCCATTTCCAAACAAAGCATCTCATGTTATTGCATCTGTGTTTTTGCTGGATTGTTTTCATGCAGAATTTGCTAAAATACGGGTAACGTTGCTTGAAAGCTCTGTCTGGGAGACATGTCTGCCTTTGAGCGCTAAGTGCAAATCATTAACATGAATAGCAAACAATTCTTTCTCTCCAGTTTTCCAGGCACACTGCAGTCTCCCTGGAGAAGCACATAGAGCCTGAGAGTTTGAGTAACACTGTTAAAACCCAGACTAAATGGGACAAGGGAGGTAGAGAGAATCCAAATAGCCATTTTCCTACCCAAGAATCATCCATTTTTCTTCCTTGTCTGCCTTAAACTATACCTGTGTTCAGGATCTGTATTTACACTGTATCTTGGGTCTTGTATATGCTTTTTTTTTCATGGGGCTTTTTACTCTTAATGGCTTCATCAGTTCTGATGATAGAAATAGGAGTGTGACCACTGTGTGGGCAAGGTCCATGTGACTGTCCCATTTTAAGCATGTGCTGTTTAGTGCG